TCAGGCACAGTGGGCCCCTGCTGGTACCTAGCACAAGACCAGGTCTGCAAGGTGGTCCTGGGTGGGCTTCTTTGGAGTTAACTTGGCCGACTACGCCATGTTAATGTCAACGAAAGAAACATTCAAACCTGTAGAGAATTTTTGGTGAGTTTATTTGAGCCAACCTGACAATAATTGCTGGGAAGCAACACCTCAAAGGGTTGAGAAATGCTCTGGAAAATGGCAGCTTAGCCCCTTACTTTATGCATTAGCATCAAAGGAGGAGCCGGAAGGGAGTTCTGTGAAGTCAACTGGTGACAGATTAGGGAGGCAGGAGAAAGCAAAGCGGCAGGACCTCTGGGATTGGATAGAAGGTAAAACGATAGACACATCTTTTCCATAGGTGGGCAAAGGATAGTTAACAATCAACAATCAATGTGATAACAATAACAATGAGGAGACTTGTGGTCTCAGCCTGTGCCCAAGAGGAAAAAGTGAAGTTACCTTGACTTCCAAAGGTCTGTTATTATAGATGCAAAAAGACAACAGACAGGCTTAGTTAAGGTAAAGACTGATCTTTGTTAGGGAAAAATACTGGCCTAGGACATGACTATCCACCATGAACTGTTTTTAGTTAGTAAGTTTTCGTTTTAGACCATTCTGTTAGAATGTGCTGGGACATGGAGGACCTAAGCCACCGCCTATGCTGGAACAAAGAAAATAGGCGTCACCGTCACTGGCTGACCCCAAGATTCCCCATTATCGGAAGCTACTGAGGCAGAGCCGCGGGCATCCTGCCAGAAACTTGTAGGATCTTCGCTGCCCCTCCCCTCTCCCTCAAGCTTTTCCCAGAAACAAGGCCCATAAATCTCCGGGACTTCTGTGCCCGAATCCGCCATCCCTGGTCAGAGGACATGGTCTTGCAAACACCTATACCCAGGACACCTAGGCCAGATCAGCAGGGTGACCCACCCTCCCCAGGGGTCTGCTACACACCCTTAAAAACCCTTCTACCCTTTCCCTTGCTGCTTCAGTCTGTAAGGCCACCTTGCAGGCCTCCCCTGAGCTTGTCAGGTTAATACGTGGCCCCTCTTCTTCCACAGAACTCCAACACTGAGGTCCAGCTTTGCCAGTAACCGCTATTGCCGTTTCACAGCCGGCATCGCTGGTGACATTCCCCAATGCTAGCCTTGTTAGGTGAGACATCCCCCACCAGTCAAGAGTCACATTCAGGTTACACACGGAGCGGGGAATATTACGCCCTAGAAGCGAGCAAAGAGAGCCTCCGGCGCGAAGGCCCGGTCCCTGACCGCATCTGCAGGTGGAGGGGCAGGTATCGGTCTCAAGCCCAGAGGCTGCGGTGTGGCCCCCACCTGGGGGAGTGGCAGGGCTCCAAGCTCAAGCGCTGGGTGGTCAGGGCCGAGTTCTCAAAGCCCGCCAGGGGCGAAGGCCCCACTCATATCCAGGGTCCAGGCTTGTGGTTTTGGGTGTTTCTGTTATGCCCCATTAGTCTCGACAGAGCACTCGACATAACAGTCATGGCTGACAGCGACTCCACGCTGCGTTGTTAAAGGCGTCCCCAAAGTCCACTCTGCTCTTGCTCTGCACTAGCGCAACGCACTACATGCCTGCTTACCACTGTCCACAGCATTCAGTACAGTAACATGCGGTGCGAGTTTGTAGTCTAGGAGGTGTAGGGGACAACTTGTCACACTAAAATATCTCTTTGGCACTGGATTATTTTAGGTTGGTTAATTTTGAGACACAGCAGACAGGGAAGGCACTCTGACACCGAGCACCAGTTACCTGTGGCAGAAGACAATGACATTTGTGAAGAAAATCTCCACCGGCAAGGCAGTCGCCCTGGTAGGTCAGGTAGGGAACAACCTCGTCTTACGAAACTCTGTGAAGAAGCTGAAGACTTAAATCTGCACAACTACTTGACCCTTGTTAACTTTTCCCGGTAACCTTCCGTAACTGATCTTCCCACACCTACTGTGTTCTTTTGTCTTCAGCTGAAGATGGTATTTAAGGTGGTGGCTTCAGCCATCTTGGTGAGTCACTCAGTTTTCCTGGGGTTCGCCCACATGTACAGGAGGTGTGCATATTATTCAACTTGAGTCTGTTTCTCTCCTGTTGATCTGTCTTTTATTATAGGGCTGTTTCAGCCATGAACCCAGAAGAGTCAAAAGGAAGATTTTTCCTTCCCTACAGAGCAATAGCTATATCGTATAACCCAGGTGTGTTGTAGGCTGTACACATACAGGTTTATGTAAGTGCACTCTATGGTGCTTGCATTAGGATGGAATCACCTAACGATGCATTTCTCAGAATGTATTCTGTTGTTAGGCGGCAAATGACTATAGTTAAGTCACCTAGACAAAAGGCCAGAAACACAACGCTCAGATGGTCCAGTACGGGGCTCTTCCTGAGCTGCAGTCCCGGGAGGATGCTGGCCCCAAGTTCCCGTTCGCTAACTGGTACTTGTTCTCGGTTCCTGGTTTCAAGCCTTCTGGGTGAGCCCTTGGCCGCAGCTTGTGATTCCTGCGCAGGCCTATCGCAAAGGACCCATTCCTCTGTCTGTGGGGGTGAGGGGTCTGCTTTGCCTATCCCCGCCCCTACCCCATACACACCCAATCAAAATGCTCTAGTCAAGGACCCGACCCTCCAGAGCTGTCCCACACCAGGGGACGTTGTTGTGCCCCGGGAATTATATAACCCGAGTGCAGGTTTGCTCCCCCAGACGTCTCAGGGGACTTCTGTCTCAACGGCTGGAACTGGCCGTGGTTCAGATGCAGCCACAGCCGCCTACTAGATAAAGGTCAGACCTTCGTCTGCCTCTTTACTGGGGGCGACGTCTGCCTGCCCTCTAGGCAGTCTCTCCGGGTGCTCCTCACCCGGTGGAAAAGGCTCCTGGTCTTTCCACGCAGACGGAAACGAGCTCCCTCAGCCTGAGGCCAGGCTATCGCACCTCCTGTCGTCCGCCATGCTGTGCACGGCCCTTGCCGGTGGGGAGTGGCACCCCGTCCTGGGATCCTTTCTCAGAATTCCGACAAGTCAGCCTGGCAGTGAGGTGTTAATGACAAAGAGGAAGCACGGTTGGAATGTCCAAGCCTAGGTCATTTCTACTACCACCTCCCCTCCTTAGAAATACACATTTTCCTAAGGCTTTCTGGCAGATAAATGCACACTGCATCCGCGCCGTCTCTGCGAGTGTGCGCCGCACGTCTCACACTCGACTCCCCGCTCAGGCCTCACCAAAGCTCAGTGGGAGGGCGTGCGTGCTACAGCTCAGCGGGAATCCCCCGGGATGCCCGTGGGCCACTGTGACCTAGAGAGGCCTGTAAGGCAGACAGGGAATGGGAGGGCCATCCAGACCCGGCACCGCTCCTCCCTAGGGTGTGGCGGAGGCTTGGAGAGCGGAGCGCGGCGCCCTGTGCGCGGGAGGGAAAGGGGACATCGCCTCCTCCCCTCCGCCTGCCCCGGGAGACGGAAAACTCACAGCGGGCAGGCACGGGGCGAGCAGGAGGGGCTCCGTCCACAATCCCGGAGACTAAACGGGTGACAGGAGGCTAGGACCTCGCTGGGTAAAGCCGTCACCCGGGGGCACGCACAAAAGGCTGCAAGGAAACTTCCGAATTCTCTCACTGGTGGAATTTGAGAGCTTTTTGTTGTTGATCTCGGTTTTCTATTTGTCCTACAAGACATGTATATTACGTTTGTACTTAACAGTTCTATACGCACACGTATAAAAAGGGCGAGGGGCTCAACAGTCAGTCCCGTGCTCATCCCTGGAGCCCAGGAGGGTCCCCTCCATCAGGGGGCCAAGGGGACCAGTTTGCTGCCCGAGTCAGCAGAAGCAAAGGACCTGTCCTGGGAGGGGTTGGGTCTCAGGACGCTGCCTTTCTTGTTCATTTTTTGTGCTACTAGAGCAATCACAGCTTTACCGAGGCCCTTCCCACAGCCACTCCGCGCGGGAGCGGGAGCCGGGGCGCCACTGGCCGCCTCACTTCGCAGGTGGCCGCAGGCAGCGGCGGAAGAGGGTGCTGGCCTGCTGCCCCCTCACCGCCCTCGGAGGGCTAAGCCGGGAGCCGGCCCGGGATTCCAGAGCGCGCGTTCCGTGTCCTTCCCGTCGGTGAGGGCTCCCCGAGCTCCTCTTCCTGCCGAGCGGGTGTTCACTTCTCGTCGCTGTCCCCGGCACTATCTTCGCCGCTGTGCACACCACAGTGGGCATCACAAGCCCCCCCCCCCCGACGCCCAACCCCGCAACACACACACGGGCACACGCTGCCCTGCGCTGCGCAGATGCAGAGCGTCCGCCCAGGTCCAGAGGCTTATCCGCGCCATCAAGTCGCGCAGGGTTCTCGTCCAGTAACGGCTCTCACCCCTTGACCTGACAACCACCCACACGGGCAGGAAAACAGGGACGGGACTCCTTTTCCGCGGGTCTAGTGATTTCTAAAACCCACATTACTTTTAAATAGATAACGGAGAAAGAGCCCTAACTTAGTGATAAAAACAAACAGAACCTCAACCCAAACTTTGTTTGAGCGCAGGCCGGGTGGGGGCGGGGGAGCGGTGCGGCGCGCCTCTCGTTTCCTCGCGCAGAGGTGGACTCCAGGTAAGAATTCGGAGCTCTGATCCAGAACAGAGAATTCACCTCCCGCCTCCCGCCGCTACATAATGTAGACGCCGCGGCTCCAGGGCTGCTAGTTCCCAGCGCTCGTGTTTTGCGATTCGGATTAACTTGCGTGCTTCGCCGGAACATGCACCCAGAGAAGGCAGGCCGAGCCCCTTCCGGCGAGCAGGTCCCCGCTGCCCAGAGGCTCCAAAGCCGAGCGCCGGCCCGCTGCGCCCGCGGGTCCGCCAGGGGCCGCGTGGAGCGAGCGCGACACGAACGCCCGGGACGCCCGCCCGCCGCTTCCAGCTCGCTCTCCTTCACGCCTCCCAAGTCACAGGGGGCGACACGGACTGGGGGCGACACGGCCCCTGGGCTCCCAGACCGCCCGGACTCGACTCACCGCGGGGCCCGCCAGGACCAGGAGCGCCCTCAGCTCCTCTCGGAAGTTGGACAGGGGCAGGCAGCGCAGCCCCCGGCGCTCGCGGGCGGCCTCCCGGTCTCGGGTCCCGGCCCCGGGCTTCTCGGCGGACTCCATGTGCCTGGCGCGGCGCGGCCGGGAGTGCGGAGGCTGCGGCCGGGAGGGCGCGGGGCCCACGACTCTCCCCAGTCCCCGCCCCGGCCCGCCCCGCGCCGGTCTGCGATTTGGGGCGCGCCCCTTGCACCTCTGCGTGCCAGAACTCCTGGACTTGGAAGGCCAGTTTGGAAAAGCTCTAGAAACAAACCGAAAGCGTGGCGAGGGCTGGTCCCGCGGAGCCTCAGGCGCTTCCGACACCGAGCTGTCCCGGGCTCTGCGAATGGGGGCAGGGGGTCCTTAAGGCCCGACCTCGGGTGGAAGCAGTTACCTACCGGCTGGGCGGGCCCGGGGCGCGGCGGGCGCACGCCGGCGCCTGGGACGCCTCTGCTGCGGCCGTAGCCGGCCCGTAGCCTGCCTTCAGCACAGCCCTTCAGCACAGGAGGCTGGAATTTGCGTACTTTTTCTCCTGCTATGTTCTATTACAGAATTTAGAATCTATGAGGTTAAAATATTTCCAAGTAGGACCGTGCATGTTACGTTCTTGCTATGTTGGCTAGTTTTCTTGGATGTTTCTCCGTCAGCCTGATGTGGAGAACAGGAGACCGGGAGCTTCAGCAAATGTGGCTTCAGCGGACACCTGCCACGTGCCGCTTGGGAGAGAAGAGGCAGCTCGCCTGCCTCCCAGAGCCTCGGGGTCTTCATCTGTGAACTCAAAATACCTACATCACCGATTGTGCTGGGGAGTAAATAAGGTTGCATTGGTGGACCACCTGCCCTTGCCTGGTGCACAGTAATTGTCTCACAAATGGTAGTTACTAGGGCAAGGACGATTTCTGTGATTTAAAAAAAAGTCCTGTTGTAAATGACCTAACTTAAGCAAGGAAAATGAAAAACATAAGTGTTGGGGCTCACATAGTCGGGAAGTCTGGATTCAGGAATTTTAAAACAAAGTCATCCACGCCCTCCTCCTCTCCCCCCCTCCCCTCCCCCCCCCTTCTTCCCATTAATTTTGATTCTCTCCTTGGTGTTATTCTTTTTCCTTAGGCACCAATCTTTTCCTGCTGAGGGGACAGTGGCCTCCAGAGTTGGGGTTCAGAATGAGTCACCCCCAAATGTGCTTCTGATAAGCAGATTATTTTGCGCTAAAGGCAGTGAAGACCCTCAAGAGAAGCTTCTGCCTCCCCTCCCCAACCACCTGGGAGAATTTAAATTAGGGACCTTGCCGATAGTGAGAGTTGTTACCAGAGATAACCTTTTCACCTATGGCAGGCAAACTACTAATTACTGAGCATCTGCTCTTCTTATCACCCTGCAGTGACCTCCTTCACCTCTGCCTCTGAAGGCCCAAGGCCCCTTACCTGTCCTGCGCTCAGAGAGCCATGTGTACCTCGTCTCCCTCCCTGTCCGGAACCGCTCACACATGTGGGGCCTATGACTGTCTCATGTAGGGGGCTACCATGTGCACAAAATCACATTTGATTCTCGTTAATCTGTCTCCTGTCGATTTGATTATTCAACCAGCCAAAAAGAACCAGAGGAGGGGAGGGAAAATTCTTCCCTTCTCTCACATCAGAAACCTTGATTCCTATCTTTCCTATCCTATAAGACAGAAACTAAGACCCTCACCAGTTCACATCTAGCTACAAACAAACAACAGGAAACAAAAAGCAGGGAGACAATAGTTTGGCCCTGTGCAGGTCACTTGTCCATCTTTGGAACAATCATCCTGACCAGAGAAATAGGGTCTTATGTTTGGCTGGACCTGGACCATGAACTCAGCTCTGTACCAAAAGGGTGGGGTGCTGTGACTGGCAATAGTGCCACTGGAACTACATGTGGGGAGTGGAGGAGGAGGAGTTCCTCAAAAGCAATGAGGATCCAACAAACAAAAATCCCAGAATCTACACTAGATCTTCAATCACTGCTACCCTTTAATAGTCTTCTGGAGTTTTGGACAATGTAATAAGACATGAAACAAAAATGCAATATGTAAATATTAAGAAAGAAGACACAAAACATTACTTGTAGTTATAGTTCCAAACAATCCAAAAAAATCGAATGGGAAAAAAAACCTAACAGAAAAAATACAGGGGTTTAATAATTTGCTACATACAGAACAATATCAGTTCTTTATATTGGTAATAACAAATGAAAATATTGGAAGAAGAAATTTCTTTTGCAATAGCAACAAATGGACACTTCTTGTGATGTGGAACAGAGCCCCCCACTACCTACAGGGACTATGTACAGTAACTTCCTTCCAAAGAGGACAGTATGGAAAGAGGAAAAAATAGTAATTTTACAGAAGAGAAACCTGGCAAACACCGCCTCACATATACGATCAAGGTTAATATCAACAGTGATAAGTCATGCTGATAATATATACTTGTGTTAGTTGCCTAGTGCTGCTGTAACAAATTACCACAAACTTGATGGCTGAAAGAAAAAGAAAACTCAAAATATCTTCTCTCACTGTTCTGGAGGCCAGAAGTCAGAAATCTAGGGGTTGGCAGGGTTAGTCCCTTCAGGGGGCTCCAAAGGAGGATCTGCGCAGTGCTTTTGTTACGGAAAGCCAGACTCAAGACACGATTCAGGGAACGGAGTAAGCCTTTATTCACACGCGCGGGCTCAGAGGAGGCAGTCTCCAAATTCTGAGCCCCGAATCGGGGTTAGATAGGGGTTTATAAGCCCTAGCATTCGGGCGGGAAACGGATGGGCTTCCCAGGTGGGGGAAGGGATTAGCATTCAGGTGGGAGATTGATGAGATTGATGTGCTACCCAGGTGGGGGAAGGGATGTGAAAACGGGCTACAGGAACAGATAAGCAATGATTAACAGTTAACCTGGGAGGGGTCTCTGGCGAGGCTGCTCCTCCCAAGTCATCTTGCCCTTATCATTCCCCCCTTTGATGCTAGACGAGATTGGCCTGAGTCTTAGCATCATCACACAAGCCATGGTGGTCACTCTGTTGGGGTTGGGTCGGGAGTCTTTGGTATCGGTGATGCTGGAGGAGCAGCACTCGAGCAGCGGCTCGTCAGGTGACCGCGGTCTCTAGGTTATTAATGAGGGTGCGCAGCAGCCAGGGTCCTAGACTTATTCCTAAGAGGAGTAATATCAGGGGGCCTAGGAATGGAGCCAGCCAGCGGAGCCAGATTTGGGTATCTAAGCTCCATGTCCCTTGCCCTGACTCTCGGTAGCGCTTCGCACCATCTTTCAGCTCCTTAACCTTCTGGGTTAAGATTCCAGCCTAGGAATAGGCAAGTCCCCCCCTTTTTCTGCTGTGAGGAGATCTGGGCTCGCCTATTCTGCAGGGATCATGCCTTGGTTGCCGACTAAGATGGTTGGTCACTGCTGTGGGGTGGGATCAGGACTCTGGTTCCTCGGGTAGACGGCCCACTGTCCTTCAGTTCTCTTCAGCCGGACTGTGGGGGCTCCCTTCGAGGTGGAGGTTCGGTGGCTCCGAAGTCCTGGCTCGTCTGGATCTGCTGCTGCCTTGGCTCGAGTGTAGTGGATCCAGGGGGTTATTCCTGTAACTTTAAGGGCAGTAGGGGTGGTTAATAGTACTAGATGTGGGCCCGTCCAAATGGGTTGGAGTGGTTCCTTTTTCCAATCCTTTACCCATACATACTGGCCTGGACGGAAGGGGTGTGCTGGCCTCCCTCGGGGTTTGGGTTCCTGGCCCAATTGGGCCCCGTAGATCCTGTCTAGGGTCTTACCCAACTGTTGTAAGTACTGGGTCTGCTGTAACTCCCCCTTCTGTCGAAGGTCATTGGGACTTCCTATTCTAGTTATAGGTGGGGGTCTTCCAAAAACTAACTCATAGGGAGTATACCCCGAGGGGTTCGGGGCATTCCTAACCCGTAGCAGGGCTAGTGGTAACAGGTCTGTCCATGGCAGGCCGGTTTCTTGATGGAACTTAGCTAGGGTTTCCTTGAGAGTTCGGTTCATTTGTTCCACTTTACCGGAGCTTTGGGGCCGATAGGCCGTGTGTAGCTTCCAGTCGATGCGCAGGAGCCGGGCGACCTCCTGAACCACCTGGGCGATGAACGCCGGGCCATTGTCACTACCAATGGTGAGTGGGAGCCCATATCTGGGTATAATTTCCCTGAGTAGGATTCGGGTTACTTCCGGAGCTTTCTCAGTTTTGGTGGGGAAGGCTTCTACCCAACCCAAAAAGGTGCAGATCAGGACCAGGAGATACTTAAATCCTCGGCTGGTCTTGACTTCTGTAAAGTCAATCTGGAGGTCCTCGAAGGGCTGGGACCCCTTGTGTTGGACTCCCGGTGGGGCCCCTTGATGCGGGGCTGCATTGTTCCTTGCGCAGGTAAGGCATTGAGCCAAGGCTGTTGAGCACAGGGTTGACAGGTTGGGGAAATAGAAATACCTTTTGAGCAAGTTTTCCAGGGAGGTCTTACCCAGGTGGGTCAGATGGTGGCAGTTTCTGACTAAATTGCTGGCCTGGCTCTGGGGCACATATACGCGCCCATCAGGTAACCTCCAAGTTCCCTCGGGGGTTTCTTGTCCTCCGGCCTGTTGGGCCCATTTCATTTCCGCTGGCTCATAGTCCCGACGGTTAATGGGGTTCCCCAGCAGGGGTCCGAGAAGGGAGGGCTGTACTTCTGCCATCTCACCACATACTGCGGCAGCCTTTGCTGTCGAGTCCGCCTTCTGGTTCCCGCGGGCCGGTATGGTGTCTTGTTTGGAATGGCCTTTGCACTGGATGACGGACACCGCAGTTGGGGCCCACACTGCTTCGAGGAGACGCAGGATTTCTGTCTTGTTTTTAATTTCCTTTCCTTCTGCTGTCAGCAGCCCGCGTTCTCGGTAGATGGCCCCGTGGAAGTGCAGGGTGGCGTAGGCGTACTTGGAGTCAGTGTAGATATTGACTTTCCGGTCCCGGGCCAACTCCAGTGCTCTTATTAAGGCCCAGAGTTCCGCTCTCTGGGCCGACCATCCAGAGGGCAAGGCTTTGGCTTCTACCACCTGGTCAAGCGTGGTTACTGCGTACCCTGCCACTCGGACCCCTTCTCTCATATAACTGCTGCCGTCTGTGAAATAGGTCACGTCAGCATTGGGCAGAGG